CTCAGAAAAGCTGGCAAAGTTAATAAAACAGAAAGAATAAGAGAAAAGAAAAAGAGAGGAGTTTATTGAAAAGCCAATTAGACCAATACCTTGTGAAATTATTATTCTTTGTTTCTCATAATAAAGCTAATGCTCCCCTGCATGGAGACCATTGGCTAGCCACACAGCAGACGGGGACATCTCTGCTCACGTTCAAGTATTTTCTTTTTCTGGTTGTGGTTAAACTCGCTCAAATATTTTAATTCAATTCAATTCAATTTTATTTATATAGCGCCAAATCACGACAAGAGTCATCTCAAGGCACTTCACATAATAAACATTCCAATCCAGGTCAGTTCATTAAGCCAGTCAGAAAAAATGTGTCCTACATAAGGAAACCAGCAAATTGCATCAAGTCACTGACTAGAGTCAATGACTACAGCAATCCTCATACTAAGCAAGCATGCAGCGACAGTGGAGAGTAAAACTCCCTTTTAACAGGAAGAAACCTCCAGAGGATCCTGGCTCAGTATAAGCAGCCATCCATCACTGGGGATCGAGAAGACACACACACACGCACGCACGCACACACACACACCAGGCAATGTGTCTATGGTTACATTGTGATTTCGTAGTAAATATTCTATTTGGCGAGAGATAAACTTTATTGTATTTATCCTAGTGAATCTATAATTAAACGGGTAAACTAGCAGTAGCACATTCAATTTATAATCTGGATTTTCTCATTTACATGAAATTGTGTAACCGTTTAAAATGAGATCATCACCTGAGTTTACAGCTTGCACATGTTCAGCATTCAGCTCGTGAGGTGATACTCATTGTTTAGCTGTCAGTCTTGGGATTTTACACTTTCCCTTCACTGCTATGAAACTGTGGCAGGTTGCTGCTTTCAGCAAAGTGTATAAAAAGACCTCTGCACTGCTCAGCCCTGAATTGCATTTAGGCACTAAGCATTTACATGAAAATCACTCAATAGAGCTAAGTGAACCTAAAATGAACAATACCCCACTCATCATTGTTTATGTTTGAACATTTGGACAATAGCTTGACAGTACTTTATTTTCTGCGTGTGTTAAAAAGTGATGGTGTGTAGTTTCCCTGGGGATAGGGGGCAGTACAGACCTAAATCATTGCAAGCAAGCAGCATTTTAGTGTTCGAGTAAGGCCTTACCAACGGATGCCCATTAGGGTCAAAAATCCCCAGAAGGGCAACCTCCAGCAAAATAACAAGAACGTCAGATTCCCTCACATCACTATCAACGAGTGAAGAGGTAAATGTGTAAAATAACAACATTTATGAATGGTGAAAGTTTTGTCACCGTTAATCAATAAATGCATTTAGTCCTCGCAGGGTCCTGTGGATGGAAACATGGCGTCTAATATGGCGTCGCCCTGAGACTTAGGGTGTTTCTCAATGCCAAGGAACCTCGCCTTGATGCATGCTGTATGTTTCAAAGCCACTAATAGTTTTCAATAACTGGGCATCATTTAATTCATTTCAACAACATTTTGATGGATATTTCCAGAGATTAAAGGTAAAAACTACACATTGTCTCTGCTCAGTGGCCTAGTGGTAGAGTGTCCGCCCTGGGACTGGGAGATCGGAGTTCTAACCCCGGCGTCGGTACCATATCTACTCAGGCTGCCAGACTGACTCTGGGTCCTGCGTCTGCTGATGATGTTACAAATCCACTCGGCTTTCACACTTAAGTTTTGGAAAGACATCAGTAGTTTGGTTAAGAAAGTCTTGTTTGTTACCACCTAAATGTTTTCTTTATAATTGTACTTTGTTAATAAAACACCATTTTATTTTAGTTTTGTAAAGAACGTGAAACGACATAAAACCAACATCTGCCAAAAAAGACAACATTTCTTGTATGTGAAGCCATATCTGTTTGTAGTCATGTGGAATTTGTCTGTATGTTTCTTTAGTTGTTATGTAAATACATTCATTCATTCATTCAAAATGTTGCTTGGTGATTTTCAATAAAGTTCTTATTTTATTTTGCCCCATTTCATCAAAATCAAGAGCTTTTGAGGGTCACCATTTATCAGTTAATATAGTTGCTTTTATTTTCCATTTCCTTTGGAAATTCAAACATATTTTCTCCGAAAAGTTGTGATTTTTGGACTACAGAACGACAGCCATTAAGACTATAACCACAAATTCATTCTGACTATCAAAATCATCGTTGTCAACATGCTAACGTAACTTTTACGAACGTGGTATCGTAACTTCCGTGAGGCTTACGTTCAGCCAATCAGCCTCCCTGCTGGACACTCAGATTTCAGAGGTTGGATTGGGGGGGTTAACCGCCAAATAGTTCCTGAGCACGGCTGTGTCTCCAGCTCACGGCTCCCCACGGGTACGGGTCACATACAGAGATGAATTTCACCAGTGTGTGATGACTAATGGGACTTTAACTTCATGAGAGTCATTTGAAACAACCACATCTGACTGGCCTTAAGCTGCAGGCATGCATTCAAATTCTGTCTCAATACAGTCAATGCTCACTTTACAATGAGTTTTGTTTTATTATTCTAATGCTTTTCTGCCAGCAGACGTGTTGGCTGGATCTCCATTAACCAACTACTCCTGCTTAATCCATAAAAGCACTGACACTCTATTCAAGGAGGTTAAGTTCAAAAAATCATTTAGACAAAATATAGATTAACTGAGAAAGCTGCTGAACCATTTTCTTCTGCTTATCCGGAGTCGGGTCGCGGGGGCAGTAGCCTAAGTCTAATGGCCCAGACTTCCCTCTCCCCAGCCACTTGGGCTAGCTCTTCCAGGGGAAGGCGTTCCCTGGCCAGGTGAGAGACATAGTCCCTCCAACATGTCCTGGGTCTCCCTTAAGGCCTCCTCCCGGTTGGACATGTCAGGAAAACCTCCCCGGGAGGCGTCCAGAAGGCATCCTGACCACATGCCCAAGCCACCAACTGTCTCCTCTCGATGTGGAGGAGCAGCGAATCTATTCCGAGCCCCTCCCGGATGACAGAGCTTCTCACCCTATCTCTAAGGGAGAGCCCAGCCACTGTGCAGAAAAAACTCATTTTAGCCACTTGTATCCACGATCTCGTTCTTTCGGTCACTACCCAAAGCTTGTGACCATAGGTGAGGGCAGGAACGTAGATCGACCGGTAAATCGAGAGCATGGCCTTCGGACTCATCTCTCTCTTCACCACGACAGACCGGTACAACGCCCGCATCACTGCAGATGCAGCACCAATCCGCCTATCGATCTCATGCTCCAGGTTTCCCTCACTTGTGAACAAGTGAACCCTGAGATACTTAAACTCCTCCACTTGGAGCAGGACCTCATCCCTGACCCGGAGAAGGCATTCTACCCTTATCTGAATCATTATGTTTATTATGCTGAACATAATAAACACAATTACAAGTAAAAGATATATAAATGAGATGATAGTAATTTAAATCTCTGGTATTAAAGATGGCTTTTATTATAGATGAAAGGTTCCATTGAGCTAGTGCAGATAAAATCTTGTAACTTGCATCTCCAGATCTGCACACTGAGACTTATCTGTCAGTTGTAGTTATTGGGTATTTTGATTTTCAAAAGAATATTTTATCAGACCAGTTTGCCCTGCAGAATAAAAGAGCTCAGATTTTCACCAATCTACAACTTTAAGAAGATCTATCATTCAGTACTGTGTCAGTAGGAAACAATGAGTGTTTTTCTGAAAACACCCACTCCTAAATGAGAACCTTTGGTATTTTTAATGATGCTGTGTTCCTAGGGAGAAATAATGCTGCTTTCCCTCAAAAAAGATTTTATTAATCTCTTGAAGAGGATAAATACAGAGTAACTTTAGAAAAACAAGCCCTCATACGGGTGACGAACAACCAATCTCCGTCCATCCATTCAGCACGTAAACAGTTTGAGCGACAGCTGTCTAAATATTCATGGACTTGTGGCTGTTTGTGTCGCTCTGCTTTGGTTGCTGCAGGATTCCACAGGCCCCCGGTGTGAAGATACTTTAAATAATCTGTGACCTGCTGACGTTATTCGTATGTGTGATACTTTACGCTATCTCGTCTAATCACTCCCTGCTGCATAACCCTGACTAAGCCAGTTTTTAAAAACACCCACCACACTGGACCGGAGCCAGCTGGGTTTCCTTCAGACTCTGTGGTACGGCATCATCATGGCTGTAGGCAGCAGATGTGACACTGACTCCACAGTGGATACCCAGAGCGTCCCTGGTCCTGCGTTTGTACGGCCCCACACACCAACACTTCATGATACTGGTTTGATGGTTTACTCATGTAAAAGGGCAGTCGGGGAACAGAAACACGATTATTCACCATCCATCCCACACTGGAAGGCATGAATACTCAGACTGCCCAGCACAACACTGTTACACACGGATGTCCTTCAGTGTGCCATCCACAGATGTACAATCCCAGTGAGTTGACCAATCAGCCCTTTGCTAACAACTCTGGCTTTTAATTAATCATATTCCTGTTAAACACAGGCTTGTAAATCATTTTGGACAAAAACTGGACTTCAGCATCACCAGAAGAACCAGAACATTCCCCAGGTCCCTGTAGAAGGATGAGGACGGTTCCTTTTAGACACAAACTGCAGTACTTCTAATGACATGAGTGATGAAACTTCAAGGATATCTTGATGTGATGATAAATTCAGGATTGGTACTGATTCAACTTCTTAATAATCTGACATAAGAAGTGGTTTCACTGCAAATAAGAGGTGGGATTTGATAACTGATATGTAGGTCGTTAACATGCAGCTGAAGAATGAATGAGATGTATCATGTGGCTTTTAGCTGCAGTCCAGGCAGCCTGAGGTTCATCTCACCAAACAGGCTGTTGTTAACTTATACCAGCATCTCTAGTCACCAGGTGAGGAGATCAGAGCCCAACTCAGGAGGAGGACTGACGACGCAACAATGCTGCATGATAAGCTCCATCCGAACCGTCAAAAATAAAAAGAAATAAGCAGAACCCCGAAGCTTACCTCTGTAGGATGTTCAGATCCACTGCAGATGGGTGTCGGTCACACAGCAATAGTTATCCAGCTCCTACATGTCGTAATATCACCATCAGCTGGCTGTTTATCTGTCAGGCTTGTAAACAAGACGGTCCATAGAAAAAAAAACCTACAAATGTGATTTAATGTCTGTCTGCTGTTATCCTTTAGGTGTGTGGCAGGATTTCTCCGGTCCAGCGTCCTCCCGTGACAGCGGCTCACCGGTTTCCGCGGACGTCTATCGCGGCGGGGAAACGCAGTTCGGAGGCAGCCGGCGATGCGGCTGCAGCAATGTTCAGGTCCGTCGAGACGCGGGATGAGGGAGCTGGGGGTGGGGGCATCCGAGGGCCCACGACCAAACACTCACATCCCTCCATCAAATGAACTCATCCGAGCCCGAATCTGGGTCTCACGGAGCAAGCGATGGGTGATGAAGCACGGAGAGCATCAGCGCGAGAAGACGCAATACCTAAAAGTGGTGCTCAGTGGTGAATCGGGGAGAGAGGAGGATGGGGGTTTCTATAAAAATGGATTTTATTATCTGGAATTTGATTGGCAGATTGGTTCGTGATTTTGTTAAATGGTAAATGGCCTGTATTTGATATAGCGCCTTCTAGAGACCTGGAACCCCCCCAAGGCGCTTTACAACACAATCAGTCATTCACCCACTCCCACAGACATTCACACCCAGGTGGTGATGAGCTACGTTAGCCACAGCTGCCCTGGGGCACACTGGCAGAGGAGAGGCTGCCCAACAGTGGCGCCACCGGTCCCCCCACCACCACCAGCAGGCAAGGGGGGGTTAAGTGTCTTGCTCAAGGACACAATGACAGCGACAAACTGAGCGGGGCTCGAACCAGCAACCTTCTGTTAACTCTGTCACTTTTTTTTTTACCAAACTAACTAAAATGGCTGTTTGGCTATTTGTTGTATTTAACCGAAAATTTTTATAAAATAAAAAATTACTTAAATTTGCAGTGGCGCCACCAGTGGGGGCCAGGAAGGGTACTGGCTCACCGCTATGACCACCCCACCCATCCTCCATACAACCCATCTTTTTACAGGGAAAAGGATAGGCTTTAGGTGTATCTGTAAATAACCTTTTAACAAAATCAAAGGCACAAAAAGTCACTAAATTATTTGAAATGGCAAAAAGTAATGAATATAAGTGAGTGAAAAATCCAGACCAAATAGAGAAATGTTAAGCGTTCTCAATTACTTTTTGCCACCTCCCTCCTTGTAGCATTTTGAGGGAGGTTTGGACCCGAATGCAGTTACCAGAACGACACACTGAGAGTGATTTGTTCCCATAGAATAAATAATCCTTTGTTTTGAAGGAGAGTTGCAGCAAAATCAAAAAGAAGACTCAGAAAAACTAAAGGGAGAGAACACAAGGTAAAAATAAAACTCACAGGAGCCAAACTCAAGATGATCAGGAGCACAAGAGGCAACAACAAATTCAGACAAAAGAACAAACTGACAAACAGCAAGACAAGACCAGAGTTTAAATTAAGGAGATTAGGAGTAGGTGTGACCAATTAACTGAGTGGGGAGGTAACAGAAAGCAGGGGAGCGGTACGCACGAGCGCCGCTCCCTGTTTGGGTTTCTTGGGCCTTGTGGAGTGACGGTGTTCAGCCTCAGGACGGCGTTGAAGGCAGAAGAGAGACTGCGTGCCATTGGGGTAAAATTATGCTGCTTTCCCCTCAAAAGATGTAATCAATCTCTTGAGGAGGATAAATACAGAGTAACTTTTAAAAAACCAAGCCCTCATTCAAATGACAAACAACCAGCGGGGTGTTGTCCTGTTTTTAACATAGAGGTGACAGCAATACACCTTTTGGGCATCCAGACTGCTCTCCTTTCTCAAAGAAGAAGAAGAAAGCAGGAGGATGAAACTAACATGGTGAAAACGAAAAGTAAACTATAAAGAACTAGAGAGTAACTTAGCTGCATAAATGCTAAGAATGCCTGAAACGCAGTAAAACGGAAGAACAAAGAGGAAAACCAACAAACTGGGAGGGGGGATAAGTCCAAGAAAACTGAAAATGAGTGAACTAATTAGCACGAAACTAGAGACACTGGAGGGCTGGGGAGAAAAGAAATGCATAATCTAAGTAAATGACAAATGAAATATAGAATAATAAACTAGGAAATTACTTACGATAAACTGAAGAGAAAGAAACCAAAAGCGGGGAGGGGGTGGGGGGGGGGGTGTTAAAGACAAAGCAAGGAGAGGAGACATGAAGAGAACTGGGAGACAAGGACATGGTACATGACACTCGTAGAACAGTAAACATTTTGGGCAAATCACATCAGCTCTAGAGGGCAATTTTGAAGTAATTTACCTATAAACAAAGTAGATTTTATTTTAAATCACCACAAAGCAAAAGCAGTTCAAAAATATTATTGGTTTTAATAAAGGAAATCAGTAACCTAAAAACAAACATTACAATATTGTTTAGGCCACAATGCCATTCAGCAAATATGCAACACATTTCTCTGGTTTGGTGCAGCTTGTGAACAAGTTGTCTATAGAGCATTTTTTTAAATCTGCCAAAATGTTCATCAGACTCATAGCCTGGCAAGCCAGACTAAGTGAATAAATGTATTATTTAGTCTGGCAACGCTCCATTGACGGCTCTCGGTTATGGGGCGGGTTCTACCGTTATCTTTCAAATGATCTCCGCATGCTACTGGACAATGAATGTGACATACTCACCGCAACAGCTATCGGTAAATGAGGCGGTCTGCAGTTGAAGAAGGAGAAAACACAATTTTTTCTAATAAAAAAAGCACTTAAATACATCTGTCTGCTGCTGATTCTAATGAAGCCCAAGTTCTAATAGTCCAAAATTAATGTAAAAGCCGTTTCAAACGAGCTGTCGCCATCTTGTTTCACTCTGTTGCATCATCCCACCCACCAGGCAAATAGAGTGCCCTGATTGGCCCACAAAGCAGATAAAGCTCTGTGATTTGTTCACTAAGCAGATAGAGCACTATGATTGGCCCACCATTATGGACCAATCACAGCTCTTTATGTGTTTGAAACCCCTCTAGAGAGCTGTGATTGGCCAGCCAGAATGCTGTTAGGGGCTACAGAGGTTCCAGTGGAGCGTTCCTAGACCAAACTTTGCAAAGCAAGAATTTGGTCTAGTCCACTAGGCTATCAGACTCAAGCTGCTGCACACAAATATCCAGGAAAAAGATGAGCTGATGGTCACTGTGAGTTTCACAATGCATTTAAAAGTTCTCACGTTTACAGCATGCATTATGTTTTTAGTTAAAAAGGTGTTATAAAAACAAGAAAACATCACTCCATGAGCTAATGATACGTATGTTTGTCTTCTGCTCTTTTGGATAACTTTTAGCAGGTCATTTCATTAGATTTCTGTTCTCAGTCAGTCATCAAGCATTCAATCACATGTAGATTCTTGTTCAGAACAACTTGATGCAACATGTTTTCTTTTGGTTGTTTTACTTAATATTTAAAATAAAAAAACATAACATCTGATGGGTATTAAAAACCAGTAGTGATGGTACTTATGGCTCTTTGAAAGGAGCCGTTCATTAGTCGGTCGTTTATCTTAGGAGGGGTGTAAAGCAAAGTTCCTCTCTGAAGTTGGTGAAAGTATGTGTGTGTGGGGGGGGGGGGGGGGGGGGGGAGAGGAGATTATGTGGTGACATCATTTACGCAACGTGCAGAGTTCACTGCAGTGTTGCCGTTTTTGACTGAAAGTAGTAAAGGATTCGTAAACACTGTGTGACCTTAAGACATGTTGTGTGAATGTGAAATTTAAAAGACAGCTCTGGCTCCAGCCAGACTCCTAAATATTTCATTTTAACAGAAGAAAGTACCGGCGAGGAATCCAAAAAATAAAGATTAAGAGTCCTGTCAATAACAGATAAAGTACTACATCTATGAAACAGCATGGAGTAAGTCTTAGATTTATTTAAAGAAGTTTGTTCTGAGCTAGCCAGAGCTGCACTTCATCAAAATTAGGCTGAAGAGCTTCTTGTATTTTGGATCTACTCGACTTAGAGCAGTATAAGACCGTGTCATCTGCATATAACTGAGCAGAACAGGATCTGCAGCACCGTGGTAAATCATTAATAAAAATTGAAAATAATAACGGCCCAAGTGAAGAGCCTTGGGGAACACCTCTAATGACTCATCACGTGTTGGATTCAGAGCCATTAAAGGAAACTGAGAACGATGATGAAGAAAAGAATTAAACCACAGTAGAGACGGCCTTGACAGACCAAAAGCATATAATTTATCTAAAAGTAGATAGTGATTGACGAGGTCAAAGTCTTTTGTTAAATCAAGAAAAATCGCACCACCACCAATTAAATTATTGTCAAAACCAGAGTAGATATCATTAGAAAGTTTAAGCAGTGCAGTAGTTGTCGAGAAGTTTTTTCTGAACCACGATTGGTACTGAGATAGGAGGTTGTTGTCCTCTAAGTATTTAGATAGTTGGATAAAAACCAGTTTTTCAAATAAAGTTTAAATTATAGTTGTCATCATCAACGTTACATGATTTACAGAATACATGTGACCAACTAACATTTTGCATTCTACCACCAAATGTTTGGATGTAATGTGAACGAGTCAGATCTTAGATCAGGAGAGAGCCAGGCGTTTCCCGTCATCCCCTAGGTTTTGCAGCCGAAGGAGAGAAACTGCAGCGCCTTGCTCCAAAATCTGCGGCCGCCTTGATCTCACGAGGTTATTGTTGCCTACGTATGCATGACGTCAGAGCAAGTCGGCGTCAAGTCGGACACAAAGCTAACCGGCAAGCATTGCGCGCCGATCACTGGTGATCTAATCTGCGCAGAACTGGCTCATCTCGAACATGGCCTTTGTCTTCGGCGAGTCAGCTCGGCCGAAAACGGTTTATGATTGGTCAGTCCTCGTGCACATGTGCAGATTATCGTTCTCTTTCCTTATTCCCGGAAGAACGGTTCAGAGTGCAAATGGTTTGTTGCCAATCTGTAGGGAATATCTACAAGAAAGTTCTACAGAAAGTAGCAAAGGGTCCTGAGAAATGTCGCTAGGTTTGTCGCTAGGCGCTTTTTGGAAGAAAAAGTCATTGAGGGGGTTCAAAAAGTCATTAGGAACAGCGACAAAGTCACTAAGTTGGCAACACTGGTTCTCTGTCAGCTGTTTCCTGATCAGAAAGCCCCTGACAGCCTGCGATTTTTACCGTTTTTACCGGAGGTGGGGTTTAAGAGTCACAGAACATTGTGCTCTATGACCTTGTGAACACCAAAACTACCAAAAGAAAGAGTAGACTCACTCCTTACATCAGAAAGAATCTGCGTGTTTCTAGCTCTTTCTGTTCTTTCACAATCCATTGTCGAAGTGTGAGCTGCAGAAGCTTTTCCGGTTCACGACTTGTTTTTTTTCACAGCAGCGGCCCAAAATGATCTCCCAGTTCATGGATTTTCTGCTTCCTGATTACGTGATGTG